GAACTACTGATACACACAATATCATGGATAAATTTCAAAAGAATTATGCTGAATGAAAGATACTAAGCCAAATAAAAGTACATAGTATATGATTCAATTTATATAAACCTATAGAAAGTACAAAATCATCCATAGTGACAAAACATAGTGATTGCTTGGAATGGGAGTGAGGTACAGGGAGAGACAGAAGAAAGGAATTACAATGGAGTGCAGGGAACTTTTGGGAGATTATGGATATGTTCACTTCTTGATCATGGTGATAGTTTCACAGGAGTACACATGTCTAATGTTTCAAATATAAATTGACATATTAAATGAATTTTTAAAATCACCATTTAAAAATGATTTAAAAAACAAAAAAATAGTTAGTGAATCACCTACTAAATTCATATAATTGTTGATGTTGTTACTGAACTGCTTGATATGAAACCAGCTGGTCCCAATTTTCTCATGACCTCTTTTTGTCAAAAACTATACCATTAGTATTAAGAACAGTTGTTTTTCGGCCAGGCGCAGTGGCTCAAGCCATAATCCCAGCACTTTGGGAGGCTGAGGCAAGAGGATTGCCTGAGCCCATGGGTTCGATACCAGTCTGGGCAACATGATGAGACCTCATCTCTACAATAAATCAGAAAATTAGCTGAGCGTGGTAGCTGAGCTTGGAAGGCTGAGGCAGAAGGATCAACTGAGCCTAGCAGGTCGAGGCTGAGGTGACTGAGAGCAGTGCCACTGCAATCCAGCCTGGGCAACAGAGTGACACTCCAACTAAAAAAAAAAAAAAAAAAGAACAGTTGTTTTTCTACTTGTTGTAGCAAAAAGAAGTACATTAAGTTTGCCTAAAAGCTGATTTTAGTGATGCTGACATTTAATAATTTCTGATAAATCATTGGGCCAGCCAGGTCATATAATATACTGACCTTTCAAATTGTAAGGTCATATTGTCTCAAAAAAATATAGCATCTGGGCCAGACATGTTGGCTCACGCCTGTGATATCAATACTTTGGGAGGCTGAAGCAGGAGGATTGCTTGAGGCCAGGAGTTTGAGACCAGCCTGTGCAACATAGCGAGATTCCATCTCTATTTTTTTTAAAGAAAAATAATGAATATACTTTTAAATATGCTATCTAAAGCATTTATGACAATGTTTAAATTCAATGAGTCCTCAAAAATTCAGTGTCTTAGGATATGTGATGCATTTATTTTTTTTCTTTAGATATTTGTGCCTATTTAAAGACTGTGATAGGTCAGTGAACACAGAAATTAATCTGAAATTGCTTATAGTTTTTTTCTATTATATTTGGTTATAATAGTCACCAGTAGAATAACTCCCTCATACCATGTGTTTTAGAAATTTGATGAAAGCAAGCTGACAATACATTCACTAGAAAAGTGATGGCAATGAAGATCTAGTTCACCAAAACAAAAAATTGTCTTTATAGTAAGCCTACATTTTGGTTCACCCTGAGGAAACTACACCTCTAGCATTAGGTTAGGTAAATTATTGAATAGGAAAACCTGTGGATAATTTAGTTAATAAAGCATCCTCTCATTGAAACATTTTTATTGTATTTGATTTTTCTGGCATTTTTAAGGACCTACAGTTATTGACTCCTAATTATAAATTTCCTGAAAAATACAGAGATCCCTAGGAGTCAGGACTTAATGGGACAATTTAGCCATCAACAGAGGCTTATGACTTATAAATCCATGTGGGGAGGGCTATAATGCCTTCAAATCCACCACCTTTCTTACAACTAAATCTATAATGCCTTCCATTAGGGTACATTTTAATCTGGTTTTAAGAGTGAGGTTGTTTATAGAGTCATGTTTATTCTTATGTGACTCTACAGGATTTCCATTTGAATTTTCTTCTTTTTTCCCCCGTTATATCAGGTTTTGTTAAACTAAATAATTCTCTCTTTATTAATTCTCTTTTTATCAAGCATGGGGTAACTGGAACTCATTTTAGCCCTCTGTGGCAAATGTTATTCAGAGGGAATCTTTGAAAGAAAAAAACAATTATAAGTGGGGTATAATCACATCCGCAGACCCCAATATTCTAATCTAGGAATCTAACCCCCTTATCTTCATCACTTCACTGTTCCTGTTATGTCAAATTCAGAGTGAATTATACTGATTAACCTGAAAGATTAAGGGATATGTGATTATTTTCAGTAAAGTCTAGGATTTTGAACTTTAGAGATAAAGCAATGAAAAGCCAAATAACAAGTAATTTCCATAAGCTTATCATAGGTTTTGACATAATTTAACATCTTAAGGTTGCAGTGATAAATGTGTTGGGTCAAATTATGTCTGTTTTGAGTCAAGCAGTGTAGTTCAATGAGAAGAACTTTAAATGCAGACAAACTGGGTTCAAAACTCAGTGCTACTCATCATCTTTGTGACCTTGAACAAGTTACTTAAACTTTCTGAGCCTTAGATGCCCCATCTGTAAAATACAGTTAATAATACCTATTTCACAGGACTGTCATTATGATTAAGAAAGCTATTATGTGTAAAGCTCCTGGCTCTGTGCTTGCTATATAATAGATGATGGTTGTGATCGTGTTTATTATTCAAGCTCTTAAAAATATTGGCTATGTAGGAGCAATATGATAGGCCTAAAATTATGTAGGTACAAGACATAGTCTCCATCTTCAGGAGTTTTCAGTTTAATGGAGTTATTTAAGTAGTTATTCCTGATGAAATAGTTGATAGAGAAATCGACTGCCTCTTATTTGCATCTCCAACATGAGGACACCAGCAATGCCCTTGACAGTCCTTACATGTCCCAGAATTGTTCTTCCAAGAGGAGAAACTAGTATTTGTTGAATGCTCACTATGTGATATGTATTTTCACAAACCCTGTCTCATCTTTCCCTATAATGACCTTGTCAACCTAAATAAAGAAATGGAGGCAAATTAATATAGGTTGAGAGTTTATTTGGGCCAAAGTTGAGGACTGCAGCACAGGAAACACTTCCAAATTACCTTGGCAAGTGTTCTGGTTTGGGGTTTTAAAGAAAAAAGGACAAAACAGGAGAGGGAGCAATTATAAAAATTGTTTTTCAGGAATTCTCATTGGTTTACAGAAATAACACTGCTTAGTGATTGATGGCTGTACATTATTGAACTATAGGTTATGAGCCATGGTGTCTAGCATATGGCATTGTTAGATTAATTTATAGTTATTTCTGGTGTCTGTCAGTCTGGAGACTACATAGCAAGCAGCTTAGAAATGATTACTTAACTCAGGGGAGGCTGGGGGGCTGTGCAGGACGTGACTGCTGTCTCATTCCAATGCTTCTCTTGGTCGGATAATTTAAAGAGGGGCTCGCATTCCTCAGATAAGCTGCTTTTCTTTCTCAACCCTATGGAATCAGTGTTGTTACTCACATTTTAAAGATGGACAAGAGCACTTAAGTGACAGACCCAGCTTCAAGCCCAGGCCTGTCTGCCTTCAAGTTGTCTGTCACCTTCTATTCCATCGCAGTCCCTTCCACTATTATAGCTGTTGGACAATTTGTGAATATAACATGAATAAACTCTTGAATTAAGTCTTTATCGAAAAATGGCAGCATAAAAAGACTTTTTTTTTACTTCATCTCTACAATAAATCAAAAAAAAAAATTATCCGGGCGTGGTAGCACGCACTTGTAGTTCCAACTACTTGGAAAGCTGAGGCGGAAGAATCGCCAGAGCCCAGCGGGTGGAGGCTCCGGTGACTGGGAGCGGCCCCTGCACTCCAGTCTGGGTGACAGAGTGAGACTCCAACTCAAAAAAAAAAAAAAAAAAAACTTTTTTTTGAAAGCAGGATTTATTAAGAGGACAGAAAAGCTCCCACAGTGGGTGGGGACCTGAAGGGGTTGCCCAAAAAGACTTCTTGAAGGAGTGTTCTAAAGTGGGCAAGAGGGAAGCAATTTGTACAGGGCTTTAGCTGGAGAGGTCAACTGAAGTCTGACTGCAGTCAGGAACAACTGGCCAAAAACCACATTCTTCTTGCAGATTAGCAACCATTGTTTGGGGAATTCAGATTTATCAAGATGGATGAGGAAGAAATTAGGGATTGAAGTCATGAGCAAGGGGAGTGGGGAGGAATAGCTCCTGGGGACAAGGACAGGCAAGGCTATGAGGGTTACACTGGAGCATTGATACTCCTTCTAGGACTCTTACACCAACATCTGGGATTCTTTCTTAATCTAGATGCAAAGGTTCACAAATAAAGATCTTTGCCCCTGCTTCTGCCCACTGCTACATAGTAAAATGTGTTTGGAAAGAGAAGTTCTTTGCATTAGGATTGGGTCATGTTCCTGCCGGTATGCTCTTTGCAGTTGTGATCCTTAATGAAAAGCACTGCCTCTGAAGCTGGAAAACATGGACAATCACTTAACCTGAAGCCTGTTCCTTCTAGATGGAAGGATTAAGCTATATGAAAGCACTTTGTACAAAGTTGAAAGCACTAGTTAAATATTAAGTATAAAGTCGGGCTCGGTGGCTCAGCCTATAATCCTGCGCCTTTGGGAGGCTGAGGTGAGTGGATTGCCTGAGTCGGCGGGTTCAAGACCCACCTTGGCAGCGAGACCTCATCTCTACAATAAATCTAAAAATCAGCCGGGCATGGTAGCGCATGCCTGTAATTCCGGCTACTCAGAAGGCTGAGGCGGAAGTATCACCGGAGCCCAGCAGGTCGAGGCTGCGGTGTCCGGGAGCGGCCACTGCACTCCAGTCTGGGCGACAGAGTGAGACTCCAACTCAAAAAACAAAAATTTTAAGTATAATGATATAATAATATTACTAACAAAATCATTTGGACCCATGTAGTGGGGAGATCGTAGCCTTCATCAGAAGAGAAGAAGGCTAGAGAGTTAAGCCGAACAGCAAAAAGCAGAAATAATTTAGTGGAAAAAAATAAACTTCCTCAGGAGAGAGAGTGACACAGGATTCCTGCTGGAAAGGATCTGATGTCAGCTAATTTCTCTTTCGTTTTCTAGATAAAACTGGAGAATTGGAAATTAAATGAAAAAAATAATCATTTTAAAGAACCCAGGGAATTAATTTGTTCATTTCAATCTGCTGTTGAGGTAGGCTGCTATAAAAGAGATTCTAGTGGCATTATTGTGCCTTAGTGCAGTAGCATTATAAATAAATGTAGAACTTTTTTTTAACTATAGCTAATTTTATTGAGGGTATGCATTGGAGGGTGCTTCTTGTATTTGACTTCTTATTCTTTCCGTTTTAAATTATCTCTTTAGACAACTAAGAGGGCTTATTGAAAGTATTAACAGTTTGTGTGCATTGGATCCACTATTTCTAAATTACCAAGGATAAGGGCTATGTGAAGAGTTGTTTGTTAGCAGTCTTGAGCTGTCTGGGAGCTAGATGCATCATTCTTCAGGGAGATAGCTTTCATGTGAAACTTTAGGATTCTTGGGGAGTATTTAACTGTGGCCTGCCAGCCTCTCCCAGAAAACTGTTGTTAGGTCAAGACAAGAAGCTGTGTCTAGTGTCACAGACCTAGGGGGACATGTATGGGAGAGTTTGTGTGAAACAAGTAGGAAAGATATTGTCATCTAGCCTTGTTTGTTATACAGATTATTCAGTTAAATCAACAGTTTAATACTAATGCCTATGCCCAATACCAAATAAAGTAGAAATACTTCTACAAATAAAGTAGAAGTAAAAATGATTTATATTTTTTTTCCATTGACTGTCAAGATCCTAGGAACAAAAAGCTGGAGAGTTACTTCAGCTACATAGAACCCTGAAGTAACCTGTGAGACTTGCTTTGGAGAGTAATTCATTGAACAAAAATATTCCTTATTTCTAAATGAAGAACTGCTGTGTTTAAATTACTTTAAATGGTACTTAATTTACTTAATTTGAATCGAATCCACATGAAATGAAAGAAGTATTTAGCACTTATTTAAATTACTTTTTCAACCATAGCCCTTGGTTACAGGGACTTTCAACTATTAGTACCATATGCTTCTGATTAAAAATTAGGGTCACATCATTAAATTTCATTTTCATGTTTAGCTTTTAAGTGTATTTCTTTGAAGTCTATTTTACTTTACTATTATTTAGCTCCCAAATACAATTTTTATTTTTTACATTGAATAATTAAATCTAAAACAATTAAAAACTTAGTTTTGAGTCTTCCAAATTCATTATTAATGAAGTTTGTTTTTAGTGTAGCTGAAAATATGGTCAGTTCTTTATTAAATAAATATAAATTTTCATTTGGTGGATTTTTTTAATTTAAGTTCCAGTCCCTGGATAATTTTTCCCATGAAAATTCAGCAAATTTTTCTGAATTTTGTCTTCTATCATCATGCAGTAGATAATCATGAAACTCATATTCATATTTTAAGAGTCTAAATAAAGCATAGAAAGCAAATTTCCCAAATAAAAAATTATAAAGAGCCATATAGTCAGTGACCAAATTTACATCATTAGAACCTAGTATTATTCTTTATTTTAATAAAAATATTAGGTCTAGAAAACTAGTGTATTAATTATATTCTACTCTATATGTTTAATTTCAAAAGTATGTGAGCTCATCATTAGTAAACAAAAATGTGCATCTCCATAAATATGTCTGAATTTCATAAATGTCACATTTCATACCAGCCATCCAAACTTACCAAGTACAATAGAGTCATTTTCTTCAGGTCTAATCAAGGCAAAAAATTCCCACAAACAATCAGCTTTTTTTTTTTAATATAAAAACATCTTTTTTACTTGATCTTTATGGCCATACCAATGTAGCTTTAGTGACAAAAGAACTGATTTAGTTGTTAGGTTCACACTATCCCAGCGGGACCTCCAAAATGTTAGGTCAGACCTGCTGGGGGTGTGGGGTGTCTTGTCTGCGATCTGATGCTGCATGAAAGACGCAAAGAATTGCATAAAAGTTAAATTAGAAAATATAGTTTCTTTATAAAGTAAATTATAGAGAGAGAAAGAAAGAAAGAAAGGAGATTTGCCGCCCCAAGGTAGGGGAGGGGGGCCAAAGCTTAAGAAAACACGCTTAGCAAGGCAATGACCAAACCAGCCTTTAAAAATGAGACTGTAATTCACAAATTGTTGTCACTATTGTTATCTGATATAAACTTTCTTATATTACGAGAATAATATTTCATCAAAATTTGGTTTTGGGAGGGTCTCACATTTTGTATGTAGAAATAATATAAAAACCAAATTGAAATTCTTCCAGAAAATACTTCAAAACAATGTTTCACATTCCTGACTATCCATTTATAGTTAAAGAAAATATAATAAAGCATATGTTCACTTTAATGTCAATAAATACTTTTCTTTTATTAGGTTGTTTACTATGTCTTTGGCTGATACAACAAAAACAAATATAGATGAACATTTCTCCAGGGTGGTGTTAGAAAACAATAGGAGATCTGCAGAATGCCAGAGAAGCCCAGGCACAGGTGATTTTTCGAGGAACAGTAATGTGTCCAGTAAAAGTGTTGATTATAGCAAATCTCAATGTTCCTGCAGAAGTTTAACTTCTCACTATGATTATTCAGAAGATTTTCTGTCTGATTATTCAGAAACAGCTATTAATAAAAATTATTTAAAGCAGCCTATGGTAAAAGAAAATAAGAAGAAGAAAAAGTATAACACATCTAAAATCTCCCAACCTAAAGGTAAGATGTGAAATTTCCTACCAAGACTAAATTTCTGGTTATAATGACAATATTTTAATATACTGTTATTTGGAGAGGTACATATTCAGTTTTATTGTTTTTCCATACTTTAAATGTGTATCATAGGTGAACTTTTATAGAAGGAATTAGGAAGTGGAGAATTAGGAATAATTACAGAATAACAGAAAGGTTTAGCATTTACAGCCTCCTCCTTGCATGGCTGCCCCTACTGGAGCCTAGTAGTGAGGTTAGTTCTGTTTTTAGTTAACAGGTGGCCTTGCTACAGAGTACCACAATACGTGGGTTTCACTGGCTTCTTGCCTTTCATCTCAGTGGAAGAATCAAGGTTTGAATCGCCAATGAAATGTAAATACTTGTCTCAACTCCCCATGAAGATGGTCTCCAAGTTGGGTGAGGACTTGCATGGTTTAAAAGGCTGCTAATAATGTCGTTTTCTTGCGGGTTTTAAAAATACCAACTCCATTAACTTCTGACTGTCCAAATTGGAATTAACTTGTGACATCTTTGACTTCCTTTCTCCCTGCCTCTCTGCCCAGACTGCAATTGCTCCCTCCCATGTTAGGCAATCTTGAATTCATAAGTATTCCTTATACAGAAATAGTTGGAACTCTTTTCCACTTTGACCACCAGTGCACCCTTAGTCAACAGCTGGAAAATAATTAAGAGCCCACTCTTTGTGAGATACGTCTACCACTGTCATGTTTACCCTGCATCTTTCACCCCCGACCTTACCAGCTGCATCCAGGACTCTCTGTGTTTCCCTTCTTCTTCGCTCTAGAGCAGGGATTCTTCATCTGAAACACACATCTGTGAACCCCATGAAATCCTAGGCACTTTTTGTGTCTATATGCATTTGTAAACTTTTCTAGAGAGAAGGACCTACCACTTTCACTAGATTCTCAAAAGGTTAAAAGTCCCTTTTTAGACAGATTGGAGTCCTATACCCACTGGCAAGGCCCAGGACAACAAACAAAAGTCTGGCTCCTTTTCCCATGGTGGGACTCCATCAGAAAAAATCTGCTTGTGGCATTGGGAAGGAATTATCACAACAGAACATCATGGTTAGGTTCTACAAATACACAATTTACAAATCTCTGAAAACCCAACATTTTTACATATTCGGTCCCAAAATTTATTTAGCAACAAAAACCTGGTTTAAACTGACATTTATTTATTTTACTTAATGTAAATAGTCATATGTTTCACTACAAAAGTATTGTTTGATTAAAGAGTGCTGCCCCAGACCCTACTAGAAGAACTATGGACCCACCTAGAAAATACAAACTCCAAAAATACAAACCCACCTAAAAAATACAAACTCCAAAATTCTCAAATAGTTTGGCTCCAAGGGTTTATGATAATAGATCATGGAGCTATACACTACACTTTATATTGATTCTAAGCTTTAATAGGACTAGGCAAGAAGGCAATTTATAAAACTATTTCTACAAGAAGCAAACTGCAATTTGAGATCTAGATACCTTATGATTTTCCTTTTAAAATCAATTTATGGATTTATTCTGCAAACATTTATTGAGACCTTCATGCAAAATACATATTCATAAATTAGGAGCAACCTAGATTAATTCAGTCACTTCACAGACTAGAATCCTAAATTCCATTATCTGGAAGAGTGAAAGGTTTTTCTCTTACTCGAGGTCCTTTTATATATTAATACTCTGAAATTATTTTAGATAAATCGCGCATGAATCTTTTATTTTTTGAGTCGGAGTCTCACTATGTGGGCCAAGCTGGAGTGCAGTGGCACACTCATGGTTACCGCTGCCTCGACCTGCTCGCTAAGGCCATGCTTTCACCTCAGCCTTCCAAGTAGTGAAACTACAGGCACGTACCACCACAACCAGCTAATTTTATTTTTTGTAGAGACGAGGTCTTGCCCAGTTGCCCAGGCTGATCTCAAACCCTTGGGTTTAGGCAATCCTCTCATCTCAGTCTCCCAAAGTCCTGGAATTATAGGCGTGAGCCACTACATCCAGCTATGAATTTAACTCAAATTTTTTATGTTCCCAGGAATCATTATTCCCTAGGAATCTTATTATAATCTTATTTCTTTTTGTTTGCTTTTTTTTTTTTAGTTGGAGTCTCACTTTGTCACACAGGCTTGGAGTGTAGTGGCACACTCATACTCACTGCACCCTCAACCTGCTGGGCTCAAGCCATCCTTCTACTTCAGCCTTCCAAGTAGCTGGAACTACAGACATGTGCCACTACACTCAGCTAACCTTTTTATTTATTGTAGAGACAAGATCTCACCAAGTTGTTGTCTCGACACCCCAGGCTCAGGCAACCCTCTCACCTCCACCTCCCAAAGTGCTGGGATTACAGGCATGAGCCACTGCATCCAGAATAATCTTATTATTTCTTATTACATTATTATCTTCGTGAGCCACTGCATCCGGCATAATATATTTCTTATTACATTATTATCTTAGTATTCCCTAGGAATCTTCAAAATAGCACATGTCATCTTAAGTAATGTGAAGCATGCCTTAAAGGCTGTGGACTTAAGTATATATATTTTTGGTAAATTAAGGTAATTTGAATGAGTGTTTTAGCTCAGTGCTTAAAATTTAGGTATCTTAAGAATCATTTTTTTGCCCAGGCACGGTGGCTCACTCCTGTAATCTCAGAATATTAGAAGGCCAATATGGGAGAATCAGTTGAGGCTAGGAGTTCAAGTCTAGCCTGAACAACAAAGCAAGACCCAGCTCTATAAAAAATAATAATAAAGGGGGAAAAAAAGTAAGGCTTTTTTTTGTTTTGTTTTTGTTTTTGCTTTTTTTGTGTTTTGCTTTGTTTTTGTTTTTAGGTAGATATGGGGGTCTTGCTGTCTTGCCGAGGCTGGTCTCGAACTCCTAGGCTCAAGCAATTCTCCTGCCTTGGCCTGGGATTACAGGCATGAGCCACAGTGCCCAACCCTTAAGAGTAGTTTAATCATTCAATTAAATCTGCCTTATTGTATGTGAAATGGAATCAAATTATAAATTATACCATTCTTATTATGTGTGGGTTAGGATAATGAAATACAAAATCATTAATGATTAAACCCTATTTCAATTTTTATGAACTTTATGGTTTTACAAGTATGCATGATGTATGTAGTATAAATTTGTTTTTACCTCTCAAATACAAGTGGTATATTTACCTTTCTGAAGCAAACAAGCCTGGCCCATCCTCTCCCACCCACCTGCTAGGGTAGACAAGAAATTTAGTCTTAGACATATTTGGGGAATGGAAGAAATATGGGGGATGGGGAGATCCTCACACATACAAAGACATTTGGGGAAAGGCCTGAGGTTCGGTTCTTCATTTGCATCATTCATGTGCTCCTCGTCCAAGCCCATGTAGTCTTTAGAAGGCCAACCCTTCCTCTTTTCAAAGCATCTATGCTTCTGTGCACTTCTTGATTCTTGGGCCTTTGGCTAGAGCTCCCATGGTCGTGGCTTTCAGTTCCCAGGCACCCTATCATGCTGCTTCTGCCCGCCCATCACTTGAGTATGGCATGGGATGGGGCCACCCACCTCCACTGCTCATGGAACCCATCATCCATCCTTCTAGCCTCAGTGAAATCCCTCTTTTCTCCAGGGTAAAGCACTTAAGAGCTGAAGACATTACACATTGAGGGTCAAGTTCTGTCATACTGGCCATGGCGCAGAACATGTCAGCCTCCACCTACCAGTATTTTAAACCAGCCTGCTCCACACTGCTTGGGTCTAGGGCTTCCCTAACCAGTGCCCAAGATATTAGAATATCTGGCCTCAACACAACCATAGGCCCCTCTTCACTAGCCTCTAATAGGTGTCGCAGAGGCTGGTCTGCTCTGCTTTCCAGTCTTTAATGTGGCCAAAGCCTATTCTAAAACACTCAGATATTCAACCATAACACCTACTAACTTGTTCCCATTAGGAAAATAAATATCCTTGAAAGCATAGTGGCAAAGACAGTCCACCAGTTATTAATGTGATACTGAAACTGAGATACTTGTAAAATTGATGTGGTCTGTCATAGTCGTGATTCAAATGCTTTAACCCCAGATAGCATGCTTCATTTCTATTGGTTCATTGTTTCCATCACAGGTAGCATCGCCACCATCTAGTCCTAACACATTAAGCCAAGTCTCAAATGATGTGTCCACACTTGGACCAGTAGCTTAAAGTAAGGACTATAGTGACATTTGCCACTAAGTGCCTCATCTCTCCAGAATGAGGATCAAACAGTTTTAGATTTTAGAATCTAGTTTCTATCTCTGTTTCTTAGAACCTACCTAGATATACTAATCTATACACATACATATATATCACATGAATGTATATATATGTATATATATATATATATATATATATATATATATATGACACTAGCACAGGCACATGAACAATGGGTTCTGTCTCATCACTTACAAACTGTGTGCCTACTGACAAGTGACACTCCCAAGCAACAGTTCATTTATCTTTAAGATGGAATAATAGTATATTTATATTTATATAAAAAGTACCTAGCCAAACACATGGGTATTCATTAAGTATAAGGTTTTTTCCCTTGTATTTACACTTATTTATGTGTACGTATATGTGTGCACGGGGGAGATGTTACATATATATTTAACATTCAAATTCAATTTCATAAGCTTGCTGCCAAGTGTAATATTTTTTAGATAATTTTTCTTTAAAATAGACTCCTGAACACATATCAATTACTTCATTTTGTACCCAAAGTAACAGAAAATACTGGCTGTGTTGAATTTATTGAGAGATGGAACAAGACAGACTAAAAGGTTTGATGACTTTTTGAGGGTCATTTTGAATATATCAGATCTTCACATTGGGTTCTCATATTATACTCTAGTTACCTCATACCATATTATTGGAAGGATTACATCAGATAATTCATATAAAGCACTTATTTCATTGCCTGACATATGATAAGTACTTGGTAAATGTTAGCTGTTATTATGGTTTTTAGTATAGCATTTATAATAGAAATCTAAGTAAAGGTTTTAGAGTCAAAGACGACCTGGTTTTCAATTCATTCTGGGTCACTTTATGGCTGGCTATATAGCCTTGGACAGATGACTTAAAATTTCCAGCTATGAAACATATTACAACTCATATTAAAGAATTGTATTAAATGAGATATTTATATATAAAGTACCTAGCCTAAAGCATGGGTATTCATTAAGTGTAAGTTTTTTTTCCCTTCTAGTTATACTTATTTGTGTGTATGTATATGTGTGCAAGGGGGAGATTATACATATGAGCATATTTGCATGTCTGTGTATATTAGTACACAGTAATAAAATGGATTATCTGCTTACACAGGCCAGAAGGAAATCTCAGTTGGAAAAAAGCACACCTGGAATGCATCCTTTTCAAATACACAAATCAATATGATTTCCCAAAGAAGAGATGCTATGACTCATCGAATACTCTCAGCAAGGCTTCATAAGATTAAAGAACTAAAAAATGAATTAGCTGATATACATCGTAAATTGGAAGCCATTGTCATAGAGAACCAGTTTTTGAAACAACTTCAGCTTAGGCATTTGAAAGCTATAGGAAAATATGAGAATTCACAAAATAATCTACCTCAAATTATGATTAAACATCAGAATGAAGTAAAAAATTTAAGGCAGCTACTTAGGAAATCCCAGGAAAAGGAAAGAATCGTATCTAGGAAACTTAGAGAAACTGACAGCGAGTTATTGAAGACTAAAGATGCCTTGCAGTCACTGCAGAAACTTTCTGAAGACAAAAATCTTGCAGAAAGGGAAGAACTTACTCATAAATTATCTATTCTTACAACAAAAATGGAGGCAAATGACAAAAACATACAGGTCTGTATTTCAGGGCCCTAGATATTTTAACATTCCAAAATTAATACAGAAGGCATGCATTAATCATATGTGCCTCTCTGTAACAAAGCATTACAAACTGCTTCGTTTGGCATGCCATACTAAAAGTTGTGTTGTCTAGGAGGGTAGGGGGAAGGGAGAGTTTTGAAAGAAAAACAGAAAAAACTCAGAAGCGTCCATCCTGTTGTTGTGAGCAAGAATTCATTCCATGGCTAGGCTAAGTTATCTTGAAATGACCATTCTCTAAGGCAGCTCAGCTACCAGCTTTTGGGGATGTTCTTTCATGGGCTGGAAAGGTTGTACTGTGTTGTGGAAAACCTTTCTTTGAAATCAACCCTCTAAACCCCTGGTCCCCAACCTTTTTGGCATCAGACACCAATTTCACAGAAGACATTTTTCCCACAGAAGTGGGGAGAATGTGGAATGTGCAGTCAAACTTCACTGCTAATTTTAATCTGTATTTGCAGACACTCCCGAATGCTAGCATCATCCCAGATCATTGGCATTAGATTCTCCTAAGGAGCGCCCAGCCTGGACCCCTCACAAACAGTCTCACTCCTATGAAAATCTAATGCCCACTGATCTGAGGGAAAGCAGAGCTCAGACAGTAATAGGAGGGGTGGGAAGCAGCTGTAAATATAGATGGAGCTTTGCTCCCTGGCTGCTCACCTCCTGCTGTGCAGCCTGGTTCCTAATAGGCCACAGACCAACATCATATGGGTCCATGGCCCAGGGGTGGGGATCCCTGTAAACCATTTCTTAAAACTCAGAAACCTACACAATGTGTTTATTCTGTCCTTTTTCTTATATTCTCCCTCATCAGTTTATCCAGTCATTACCACATAGGCATTTTAATTTTAGAAATAGGAATTTTTTCCAGATGATATTCATGAGAGTAGGAAAGGAAAAGAAATTAAAATGATTGAAGATATAAATGGATTGGTTTTCCTCAATAGTATATGGTTGTCAAAATGTCTGGGGATTATATTATAAGGGATGATTTGGGAAAAGGCACTCTATCATATTGAGAATTCTTCTGCCTGTTTTACATTAGATCATTTGGTCTCTGTGGACATAAGCATAACTGGAATTAATTTATTCTTTAATTCTTTAATGCTTGATGGTTACAGGCAAGTATTTTCTATGTTCTTGATCTTGAAGTAAGTAAATATCAGGTGCATTTCATCCACATTTTTATCTGTTATTCTTTTGGTAAATTATTTTTTTGAGTCAGTCTCACTCTGTTGCCCAGGCTGGAGTGCAGTGGCATGCTCATGGTCACCATGGCCTCGAGCTGCTGGGCTCAGGTGATCCTTCTGCCTCACCCTTCCAAGTAACTGGAACTACAGACACACGCCACCACGCCTGGCTAATTTTTTTTGAGTTAAGGTCTCGCCAAGTTGCCCAGGCTAGTCTCGAACCCATGGGCTCAGGCCATCCTCTCACCTCAGCCTCCCAAAATGCTGGGATTATAGACACGGGCCACCACAAAAAAATTTTCTCACATAAAATAGATAAGAGCTTCAAAAAATGAGCAACTTCATTTTCATTCCTGTATATCAGTTATATTATGCGACCTTTTAGGTAATACTGGATTCATCTTAGCATATTTCTGTCATGTAAATTATTTTTATATCATCTACATAGTTATGAATGTTTAAGTAGTCCACATTTTTAATAGACAAAACCAAAACAAACTGAAGAACTATCTTCTTGACTATCAAAAGCATTACCAGTTATGAAGAATTTATGTTTGATTGTAGGGCATTTGGTGGTGGAAAGATGTTTTGTGGCCCAAAACATGTAGGTATTTTTTAAACATTAATATTTTAAAGAGTGAACTTTTTGAGTGATTATTTCATCCTTTAGCCTTCCATATTTTCCACTTTACTGGGAAAATATTGGTATTATAATGAGGGGAATCCTACTTTATACTTTTTAAAAAGTAGTCATTTAGTAAGCCTTCTGTCAAAGTTTAGATCAAACAGTACTTCAATATAGTAGTTCTTATTCCATAAAGCAGATGAATATGTGTATAGATAGTTACTGAGTTAAGTCAGGAACTCTCTCGTAGTCCGTCAATATGAATGGATGTGGTGGTGTGAATCCCTATTATAACTTTCAATCTGTTATCTGGGAATCACCATCTATGATGTCTGTGCTGATGTTAAACAATCCCTTATAGAGAGAAACTGGAAGGTTTTTAAAGAGTACTTTATGCAAAGATAGCAAAATTGTTCATTTAGGCAGAACTGCTTGGGTTTGGGGGTTTTGTTTTTGTTTTGTTTTGTTTTTGAGTCAGGGTCTTACTCTGTTGCTTAGGCTGGAATGCAGTGGTACAATCATGACTTACCACAGCCTTGACCTTCTAGGCTCAGGTGATCCTCCTGCCTCAGGCTCCTGAGTAGCCAAGACTACAGGCTCACACAACCATGCCCAGCTAATTTCTTGAGGTTTTGTAGAGATGGCCTTGCTATGTTGCCTAGGCTGGTCTCAAACTCCTGGGCTCAAGCAGTCCTCCTGCCTCAGCCTCTTAGAGGGCTGGGATTATAGGTGTGAGCCACTGCGCCTGGCCAGATTTTGTTTTAAAGTATGACATTGGTTATTATTATTGCTTTTCAGGATCTGTTCTGAATTTTTAAATCAAATTTCAAGGTATATAAAAAACATTAGCCTCAAAACATATGATATTTATCCTCTAAAGCTAGAATCTGGGTTCTGGGGGCTTTCTTTTCTTTCAGTTATACTTAGTTCTAATATATCTCCCCTATAAGCGCTGCTCATTAAAATTGATTTGAAAAGTTGAACTTCTCATAAATGTAGTTAGTTCCATTATAATTGAAGTTTTAAATAATACCAAGTTGATTACAGAATCGTTGAAATATATACCATTTTCAGAACTTGGAAAAACAACTGAGGTTGAACAGTAGAGCTTTTAGTCGGCAGCTGGCTGTTGAAAATCGGAAAACTTTAGCTGCTCAGACAGCCACAAGGACTCTGCAAGTGGAAGTAAAACGCCTTAAACAAAAACTCAAGGTGTGTTGAAACAAAATGTAAGAATGAAATTCTGTTTCACAAAATGTGAGCTACTGATGCCTATTATATTTTTTGGTTATTTTTCATGAGTATCTTTCTGAAGTTTATTCCCTACAATCATTTGAACAGATAGAGGATCTGCGATTTTTTAGAATGTGTTAATAGCTTGGTGAATATGTACTGTAATCAGAAAAATTAAAGCTCTATTTTATTCAGTAAGAAGACAATATTTTTCTTTCATCACATTAACTAATATTATTACATTTTGTTAACATTTTACTGTAACTCAAAATTACTGTTTAAATTTAATAGTCAACTTATAACATTGTAATACTTAGGGTAAGTTTTAATGGCCCAGAAATTTACCTTGAAGACTTACTTGCAAGTGTAAACTATCTTTTAGAAGTGTGTATATGTTTTTAAAATGAGAATTTTTAAAATCTTTATATTTTCAGACTTTTCGTTATCTTTCTGCCTTCAAGATTGCCGAAATGGCCAGCAATTTAGACAAGATACTTAAGTAATCAACTGTTTCAAGCCTCAACTAATAAATCTTAAACTTGATTCCTCAAGACACAGTTCTTTAACTTTTTTATGACACATAGGGGATTTGGGTTTCCCAGGAATCTTGAGATCATTTGGAGGCAGAGGAAGTACACTGGCGGAGAATTGGATGGAAATTCTCCTTTGTAAAACAGAGAAAGGAGTATTGTTCCTTTTTTCTCTGAAATTTTAGAAAACTTCAAAAAAGAATATGCCAGAAAATGGGCATGGCAATAATAACCAGATTAGAAACATAACAGAAGAGGTTTCAAGGTCCACTGGTCAAAGCAAACACACACACATGTGGAGACACAAACAGGGAATCGTAAAGTAAATTGTGTGCTTCCTTATGCAGACATATAAATGTGAATAGAATACAGCATAAAACCCCTTTTTTTCTATTTTATTAAATTTAAAAAATTTTTTAAGTAGAGATGGGGGTCTCACTATGTTGCTCAGGCTGGTCTCAGACTCCTGGGCTCCTAATTCAAACAAACTTTAAAAAAAAATCTATAGGACAATTGGGAAAATATGAAACTGGATATTTGATATTAACCATTTATTATTGATTTGTAGGAGTAGAATGATGATATTGCAATTGGTTTTAAAAGGGATACCTTTGTCTGTTATCAGATATAGAAATATAGATTAAATTGTAAGATATCTAGGATTTGCTTCAAATAATGCAGGGCTGGGGAATGAAGTAGGAGAGGTGGGTGTGTAGAGAGAAATAGCTCATGGGTTATTCATTAGCAAAGCCAGTTCTTGGTTCATGGAGGTTTATTGTGCTATTCTCTCTCCTTGTATATATTTTTTATATTTATGTTTTTATAATAAAAAGTGTTCCAAAGGGGGGAAAGTGTTAAAATTACATATTTTATATATTTAAAAAAGAGTTGAAATGCTTAAATCAAGAAGGTGAGCTGAATACATGCATTTTGTCCTTTCCTGCCAAAATTCCATGGAAGTGGCAGATATTTATTTTTAAAATAATTCATAACCCAAGAAAGTATACCACAGTTGTACCAGAGCCACCAAAGAATTTCTAGAAGACAAAAGACATTTTTTTAGATTGATGAAGAAACCAGACATAGACCATCACAACCTTAAATATGCACATTCTGGAGAGGTAACAAGAACATGGAGAGAACCCCAAGCTCAGATCAACAGGGGAGAAAAAAGGAATGACGTAGAGCCTCGGGGCAGCAGTTGCAAGTTTAACTGCAGGTTCATCATCTGGGGAGGAAGCTTTTAAAACTCCATTACTCAGGCCACACCCACCCCAGCGAAAGTAGAATTCCAAAGATGACACTCAGGCATCAACAGACTTACTGCAATCCTGCCGGTAGGTACCTAAACCACACTCACCAGCAAGCAAGCATGGATCGTGACTTGGGCTGAAAAAGATACTATTCCCTCTGACCATCAATTGTTGGCAATTGTAGATTGTGTTCAACTTTCTTCCCTCCAAAAATCCCCATGGAAGAATCAGTAAAGGACTACAAAAGAAAATAGACATCACGGCAAAGGGAACTGGGACAAGTCATCAGCAAATGAGAGATTTTGGTAAATGTATTGAATACAGAAAATGAGTGGAAATATGTAGATGGATGACTTGAAGCAGAAGCCACAGCAGGAGATGCTTAGAGAAATGTTTGTCTAGTAGTAACAGGGGTGAATAACTGGAAGGGGGAGGACAGGGAAAACAGGTAGCTAATGCTTCAGTCTCACCTGCCCACCTTACTCCTCAACAGCATGCACAGCATCAGAGTGCCCAGCATTTACCACCAGGCAAAAGTCTGTGTTTCCTCACCTAGAAAGGGAATAACTTGCTGGAGAAGAAATGGGACTACTGGTATAAATGCTGGCATCCCAGGGAAAAGCCCTTGAAAAGGTAAATTCTGGAATTTGAGAAGTACTTGGTCAAATGACTCACATCAGAGTGAAGCCTGCCGGTCAGCAAGTCCTACTGACTCACCCAGAGCCAGCCTGCCTTCCCACTCAGGAAAGAAGCCTACCAAAGACACATTTCCACACAAGACAGTGGGTCCACAAAATAGCTACTCCGGTTCTTCATTCCTGCAGAAGTCAGGCAACCAATCTATAAAGAAAAGCAGCAGCATGAAAGAAAGTACAAGAATGACAGGCAGAACTTCTGACCCGGTCTTTTTATTTTATTTATTTATTTATTTATTTAGAGTCGAGGTCTCATCCTGTCACCCAGGCTAGAGTGCAGTGATATGATCACAGTTCACCACAGCCTCGGCCTCCTGGGCTCAGGCCATGCTTCAGACTCCCGAGTAGCTGGGATTATAGGCATGTGCCTCCACACTGGCTAATGTTTTTGAGTTTCTATAGAGTTGAGGTCTTGCTGTGTTGCCCAGGCTGGTCTCAAACTCCTGGGCTCAAGCAATCCTCCCACCTTGGCCTCCCAAAGTGCTAGGATTATAGGTGTGGGCCACCACGCCCAGCCACTAACCCAGTCATTAAACCATGGCCTATCACCTGTGGTTTCTTTCTGCATTCGTGATATACTCCCACTCCCATCTTCCACAGGTCCCATTTCATATGGAAAAACAAGGTTGCTCTTGATGCTTCACCTCTATGGTCATCCCTAGTACTGATTTAAGGAGAAGGGAACAGGGACTTTAAGGTTGTTTTAAAAAAAACCTTACTGTTCCTGTTATTATGCTGCATAGCAAATCACTCCAAAACTTCGGTGACATAAGAAATGACAACACTAATTTTGTTCATGAATCTGCAGTGTAGGAAGGGCTTGACAAGGGTAGCTCATCTTTGGCATCCCCTCTTGACATCAGCTAGAGTGGTCTGAAGGCCGAGGCTAGAATTACATTGTCTGCAGTTAGTACCTGCTGACAGCTGAGATCTTAGGTGGGTTTTTGACTGGAACCCTGCACATGGCCTCTCCATGTGGTGTGGCTTCTTCATAATTTGGTGACTGGGTTCCAGAGAGAGAGAAAATATCAGGCAGAAGCCATGTTGCCTTTTATGATCTAACCTTGGCTGTCACACAGGATCACTTCTGCCTCACTCCATTTGCAAAAACAGTTCAAGGCAGTTCAAGAAGTAAACTCTACCTCTTGATGGAGAGTCACAAGGTTGTGGGAGAACGTATGGGACCAGAAATACTGTGGTGATTTTGGAAAAATACAATTAGCCATATTAGCATTAGATGTTACTGCTTGAGCTTGGGAAGTTCTAATCCCAAAAATCAAATCAAAGTTTCTATTTGTGTATCCTGAAACTCATTTTCTTTTCTTGTTTTTAATTTTAAAGATATGGGGTATAATTCAGAGTTAGGTATATAAATGTTCACTATGCAGGTACCCTTGTTGATGAGGTGTGCCCCTCCTTCCCCTGGCAGTTTCCCTCAACTGCCAATCCCACCCCCCTCCACTAGCAGTTTCCCACTACTGCCAATTCCTTTCTTACAGTATTATGATAATTGTTCAAAGTCTGCTTATAAGTGAGAACATATGATACTCTGTTCTTTGTTTCTGTGATAGATCACTGAGTATTATAGACTCTAAATCCATCCAAGTTGCTGCAAAGTCCATATGTTTGTCCTTCTTTATGGCTGCATAATATTCCATTATGTATGTGAACCACATTTTTTTAAATCCAGTCTAGCTTCGATGGGCAGAATGGTTGTTTCCATGTTTTTGCTATTGTGAATAGAGTTGCAACAAATATATGACAAACATATGTGTGCAGGTATCTTTTTTGTAGAATCATTTGCGTTCCAACAGGTATATTCCCAATAGGGGAGTTGCCAGGTCATATGGAAAGTCAATTTCTAGTTCTTTCTAAAATTGCCACGCTGTCTTCCAAAGAGGTTGCACTAGTTTGCATTCCCACCAGCAGTGTAGAAGTGTTCTTTTTTCTCTGCATCGTCACCAGCATCTGTTGTTGTTTGTTTATTAATGATGGCCATTCTTACTGGAATTAGGTGGTATCTCATTGTGGTTTTGATTTACATTTCTCTGATGATTGGCGAGGTGAACACTTTTTCATGTGTCTGTTGGCTGCCCGTATATCTTCTTCTGAGAAGTGTCTATTCATGTCCTTTGCCCACTTTTTAGTGGGACTGTTTGTTTTTTTCCTTTCAGCGCATCTGAGTTCCTTGTAGATCCTAGATGTTAGGCCTTTTTCAGATATACAGTTGGCAAATATTTTTTCCCATTCTATTGGCCATCTCCCTGCTCTCTTGATGGTTTCTGTTGCTTTGCAGAAGCTCGTCGGTTTGATGAGGTCCCACTTGTCTATCTTATTTCTTATGGTATGGCACTTAGGGTTTTGATCAGGAATTGGTTTTCAATTCCAATTTCTATAAGGATGTCTCCCACATTTTCTAAGATTCTTACAGTTTGAGGTTTTATGTTTAGGTCTTTGATCCATTTAGAGTTAATTTTTGTGCATGGTGATAGGTAGGGATC